ACTCGGCAGTGATGCTTGTGATTGTAGCAAAACCCATAATCACAGTGACACTTGCAGCATAAATCACTAGTGACCCCAGAGGCACAAGCAGCGATGAAAAGGGCACCTGCAAACCTGCGAACACCTCTGACAGATGCAGTGGGAGGTGAGAATGGCTGGCTCTCAGATATAATTAGAGCAGCTAAGAGAAACCAAAACCTTGTGCTTCATCGCCACCTACTGGGAAAGAAGAGAATAGACTAACCAACCCGTCGAATTGTTAAAATTAAACAAAGTTGTACCTAAATAAGAAACATGTTCAGTATTTCAGATGCACTGGCAGGGGAAAAATCCATCAAGGACTATGAGTAATCATAGTAGCATAGTATCATGACAAGAAAATGACAATTCTTCAGAAACCAAAATCAAAGTCATGGAAGATTGTTATCTAAATGATAGAGAAATCAAAGTAGCTTTCATGAAGAAACTCGAGATACAAGAAAAGTCAGAAAGGCAGTTCAGTGGGCTCAGGAGTAAAATTAATGAGCTGAAGTATTGTATTTTACCAAAAAAAGAACCAAACATATTCCGGAGCTGAAGAACTCACTAAATGAGATGAAGAATTCATTAGGAAGCGTTGGAAACAGAGGAGACCATACTGAAGAGAGAGTGAGCAAGCTACAAGATGGAAATCTAGAAATGATTCAGATGAAAGAGGAGCAAGAACTAAGATTTAAAACAAAAAAAACTCCACGAGCACTATCCAACTCCATTAGAAAGGGCAACATCAAGATAATGGGTATCCCAGAAGAAGAAGAGAGGGAGAAGGAGACAGAGCCTATTTAAAACAAAAATAGATTAGAAATTCCCAAACTTGGGGAAGGAAGCTAATATGAGGTCTGACAATTAAGTTTATGAACTTGTTGCTAACCTTTTTTTGATATCAGAGGGGTTATTCATTATAAATTTGTACCAACTGGACGAACAGTTAACCAAGTTGGCTATTTGGAAGTGCTGAAAAGGCTGCGTGAAAAAGTTAGATGACCTCAACTTTTCACCAATTTATGGCTCTTGCATCACAACAATGCACCAGCTCAGACGGCACTGTCTATGAGGGTGCTTTTAGCCAGTAAACAAATAACTGCATTGGAACACCCTCCCTACTCACCTGATCTGGCCCTTAAAACTTCTTTCTTTACCCGAAGATAAAGGAAATATTGAAAGGAAGACATTTTGATGACATTCAGGACATCAGGTGTAATACAGCGACAGCTCTGATG